CTTGAAAAAACCGAAAAATACAGAAGTTTTGAGATTTTTTGAGGAGAGAGAGAGAGAGAGAGAGAGAGAGAGAGAGAGAGAGAGAGAAGTTGAAAGTTTGGGGAAAGACCTTTAGGATGAGTACTTTGGAATCACTGAACTTTTAGTCTGGAATCATTTGAAAAAATGGATAATTTGGATTTTCGGAATTTTCAAAAGTTTGATAAAATTGGATTTTCGAATTTTTTGGAACTTCAGGAATTTTCAAGCTTGCTGGAACTCAAGATTTTTTGAATTTTTGGAATTTTTAGATTTTGGAAACTTTCCGAATTTTGAATTTTTGAAATTTCTGTCATTCCGAAAATTTTGGATTTTTGGAATTTTCGAAAAGTTTAGAATTTCCAGGATTTTCCAAAATTTTGAATTTCTAGAATTTTTTGACCTTGGGGAATTTCAAAAAAAGATTTTTCAGATTTTTTTTTGGAATTTTTGGACTTTTCAAAATGCTTGGATTTTCATAATTTTTGGAATTTTCGGAATTTCTGAGTTTTCGAATTTCTGGATCGTTGGATTTTTTGGAATTTTTGAATTTCGAAAGTTTCGAAAATCAGAAGTTTACGATTTTAGGATTTTTAAAAACCTTTTCTCTCTACAAAGTGTATAGTGTAGTATATTAGTTAGAATGTTGCGAAAAGTTAGGCTCCGCCCACTTTTCGGTAATTTGACCCCGTTCGAAAATGAGATGAGATGAAAAAAGTATACATTTTAAAAAACTAGAAAAGTGAGAGGAACGTGTCAAACAGAAACTTGGAGTTTCGAGACAGACGATATTTGAGTACTTTAAAAAATCTGAAAATTTAAAAAAAAATCTGAAATTTTGATCCAAAAATCATAAAAATCGGTTGAAAATGAAGCGAGTTACAGCGATTTGAAGTTTTCACTGAGGCTTAGAAGCGTTTTGTAGTTTGTAGTCGCTTAGCCTCAGTAAACGCGCGAGGTGTTTACTGAGGCTAAGCCGCTACAGACTGCAAAACTGTCTAAGCCTCATTAAAAACTTCAAATTCTCGAGTTAGCGGAGGCCGCCGCAAAAACTGAGCATATATTTGAAAATGAAATTTCATCCTCTTTCGAATGATATAGGTCTCGTCCCATAACTCCACATCTTCTGTGAGTCATTCCCTAGTCAGTAAAAGCGCCATCCCGTTTACTGAGGCTTAGGAGACCGGTGTAGTTTGTAGTCTACAAGCCGAGGAAGAAGTTTTCTGAGGCTAACGGCTTCTTGTAGT